ATGCTTGTGACCAATCGGGTTTGTATAGCTCGTTAAGATACCAAGAAAAAGAAGAGTATCACAGCTGTGTGGGCCAGGCCACTAACGGGCCCCATTTTCAGACCCAGTACAGTGATTTTCATGTTCGAAACTCTGAAAATGAACTGGAAACTCTGCGTAAAGCTTTTAAATCTATCTTATTTATGTAAAGCACCTAAGCTGCGAGCTCTACTAGTTTGTACATTGTTTATCGAAATAATTTTCACGTAGGTTGAGAAGCCGGAGGAGCAAGCCCTGGAGTACTTCCAGAACCAGTTCTTCGAAGCGTATGGCGGCGCCTGGACTACAAAAGTGGACTGGTTCTTTCACAGCGTCAAGCACTTCTAGCTGCTGTTCAAGACACTTTTATTTCGCGACGCGATGTGTGAAGCAGTGCCATGCGGGACGCCAGTGCGCGACCGTGAGGAGACTCCTCCGTGAGACAGAATTATTGTGCCGGTGTAGATTTTGCATGATCCTTCATTCTTCTCCTGCTCTTTGTTCAGAGCTTGCCTGTCAGCGTACTGTAATAAAGCACGTCTGCAGAAGATTAGTATTTGCTGCTTAGGTGGCGAGGTTTCTCACTTTGTTTTAAATGCTGTGCTTTGCTAGGTTGTTGGCTCCCCGACCACACAGTGCACTGGGTGCTGCGGTTGTTGCTGTCAGGGGAGCACATGTCTCTCATGGTTTAGTGTGTGAAAATGAGAGAATCAAAGACAAATGTGACGCAGTACTCTCTCTGTCAACACAGTACTCTTGTAATGAGGTGTACTCTTCTAATGGTGGGAAGGAACTCTGGACAGGTGCTCACAGGATAGACCGGCACCCTATTTCATGTACTTGTGTTCCAGTCTGTGCCACGCAGTTTTTTTTACCTGCCCCGGTTACACTTGGCCCAACTAGATCACGGAACTCATGAACACTTGGGATCAGCATTGTAGCAACTTAGTGAAGCCCTGCAACACTTTTTCAGCATGGTCAGAAAACGCTACTGATCGGTAGTCGAGGCTCCCAAGAGCATGCAGCCTGGAATTTACACTTAATTCTCAAAGTCAGCTTGAAATTGTTTTCTCTTCTTTCTACAAATGATGTTATTTACTCCAAACGATTGTACCATATACCCAAATATATGGTCGTTGGCTGATTTGAATATCACGAGCTGCATAGTCGCTGCTGCTGCAGCGTGAAGCAGCCACATGCCCACCTCCCAGTTACCATAAGTTTAAGCCGAGGGTTCAAAGAAAAGATAAAGAACTGCTCAAGGTCATAACGCATGTGCGACTCTACTTCTTTCCCTGAGCCATCCCTCACTGCTTTGCTTTTAAGGTGCTTGTTGGGACAAGAGGAAGCAATTGCAGCTTGTGCCAAATCTCTTCAACTTTGGTCGAACTTAACAGATTCTAAAATATTTTGTAGTGGTAAATTCACGAGGCAGTACATTTTTTTAGTGAAGCCGTTCGATGGTTATTTGGAAAAGTATGGGAGGGCCCCTTTAACTTTGCTGATGCATGAATGTCTTGGGTGACATTTAAATCCAGCATACTAACCGATATACCCTGCCAACAAACAGTCAAGACATTCACGTTTGGCACTACCACACCAACCACCACTTTGCTGTTGTTGTAAACACAAATGTACGGCTTCATTTACAAACTATGTCATGTCATCTTCGTAGAGGTATTATCTTCTCATTTTTACTGGTGTGCTGCCTTTATCATAGTTCAAAGCTGTGTTTGCCATGGTTGAAGTCAATGACATGACGCCAAATCACGCAACTGTCAGCTTTCATGAACTTCTCAATCATACATCAGAGCCTTTTTAGCTGCACACATAGTTCCTGCCTGCGTCACTTTTTTGTCTGGACCTTTTCTTGAGCTATTTTCTTGAGATAGGCTTCATTTATCCATGCCATTAATTTTAGTTACTCACGCATGGATGGATGCTATGGATGTCCCCTTCAGTGTTCAGTAACCTGTGCACCACCAAGCATGAGAAAGCTTTTATTGTTGTTACACTAAACTCTCTGTAACTGAAAATCTCATATACATATTGCTGCCTAAGAAAGAGAAAGAAGATAACCACCCGTTTGTAGCACAAAGCCACAAAGAAATCTGTACGTATTTCTCCGAAAGAAAAACTTCTTAGTTGCCGAAAATTCGCCCTGGTGAACCCGGGACAAGCATCTTTCTGGGGCAGTCACTCTACCAATTGAGCTAACCAGGAAGCTAGTGATTGGCAGCGCAAGGGCGAATTTATGGACAAATCGAAGCACATGGACACATTATTGCCCTATCTTAACCCTTCTGCCACATTGCAGATTTCCCCAGAACTATATTTGCAATTGCTGCTTAAATAAAACTGCCTCTTTAACATAGTTGGTTTCACGCTTCAATTTTGCACCTCTGGTCATCTCTCAGTAAACAGAACTCCTTTAAGTGGAACATATTTTTCAGGTTTCCCCATGTTTCTTTTAACAAGGGTCTGCAGTGATTTCCTTTAATTTGACCTAATGTCTTTGCCACCTTAATTAAAATTTTCTTTAGAAAAATAGCTCATACAGTCACAGGCCAATTTTCAGCACGAAAAGTGTGACAGTTCCGCTTAGAGAAAATTTAATCAAAATAAATTTTTTTCAGGTTGGTTCATTACTCAAGCTTTTCGACTGCCCTGTTATTATGTCTCTAGGAGATGGAAAGTGGCGCCTTGACCAGCATCTGCATGCAACATACCTTGCATTCTTTTTTTTACGTCTAATATCCAATGAGAAGCCCAGCCTGCTCTTCTATTTCTCTTGCTATGGTGCTTTGTGGCACATCACCATTTTTTGGTATTATTCACTCCTCATTGGACCATAGCCTACAACATCCCAAGGTGTGCTCTCGACTTCTCTCAAAGCGTGGTTCCTTCGAAAGCAAAGAGATGAAGCTTACGTAGTTTGATATGTAGACCGTATTCATGCTTTGGAGTCTTTCCGTACTTTGCGAACTCGATCGCGCAGAGCGATGATGCACGCACCATGCTTTTTGTTCTCAAATGAGGTGACAGGTCCACATCTACAGGGAGAGACAACACCACAGAGAAGGCAAACAAGACGCACGGCATTCCCCATGTCTTGTGTGCCTTCTCTGTGGTGTTGTCTCTCCCTGTAGATGTGGAAGCTAGAAACGAACTAGTCCAACATATTGCTTTGAAGTGACATGCTCTAATAGCGGTGACAAGTCAGTAGTTGGTAGGGACTCGATAGCTGTAAGCTGTGCGACAGATGAGCGACAAAGTAAATGCATGAACGCACAAACGTAGTAAAAGTTTCACTGACACAAGCAATTTGGAACTCGTTACGCACTAGGGACAGGATATCGTTATCACGTTCAACTCTTAAAAGCGAAGTTTGAGGATACTCCAGTTTTTTTGTGCTGTCAAATTATGTTAGGGTGGACGTTGGGACTGATGCTAGCTCTGTAAATCATTTAAAATAAATGTTAACTTTTGAATTCACTACATCAGGGGACACATTGCAAAACTGAAGCAAACAATTTATGGCTTTGTTTGAGAGGAATATCAAAGCCTATGTTTAAATCAAGAAGCCATTGCAACTTGGACACTTCATGCTCGTATGTGGACTGATTATATGATCTGCCTCATTGAGTAGTAAATCCAACTAGTTCGACCAACCTAGGCGCTTAATCTTGGATGGCACAAGAGTCCTCTAACCTTACTTTGTATCAGAATGCACTATCTGAGATTGGAAATCGTACCTAAAACCTTGTGCTGGGTTTCAGCCATGCTGCAAGTGTGGGGGCAGAAACGTTGTTTTTACAGAAGCGCGAGATTTACAGGTGCAGCTAGGCTTTCACGCCCAGGAGAAAAATAAACTATTTGGGCAGTGTTCGCTATTGCCGCTCTGACAATATGAAAAAAAAAAAAATTACGCCTTTACTGTGAGAGGAGGACCAATGAGTAAGAAAGGACACCTCCGAGTTCCAACTGTGGTTTGCGATAATATTGTCGATTTAGACAGAATTAGCCCAAATGACCACTCTGCGACAGGGGCACAGCCAGGGGGTGGCACAGTGGGCACGTGCCCCCTCTCCCCACGAACATTCTTTTCAGGATGGCATAGAGAGCAAAAAATGACCATTGTAAGGTATTGCCCCCCACTGGCTACGCACATGCTCTGCGGAACTTTCACTTTTGCGAGGTTTCACGAGACTAGCACCAGAAACCTCGGTTGGCAACGGCTCACAGTTATCTCGCACTGCACTGAGCGTGCTATGACGGCAAGCCCAAATGTCGTTAGTAGATGGCGATGTGCCAAGCGCTAGTCTCGGGGTGTGAAAGTATCGCCTAAATCATCGTTCTGAAAAGACCGCCTCCAAATTAAATTTTAAGTCAATGAAAAGAAGTGAACATACACTAGAGGCAAATCGTTTGTCAGGGTGCGAGGTCAGAGCTTGATAACATCTAAAATGTCAATCTTATAAGCAACAACACTTTGTAATTGAAAATCTACTGGGCCCTCTAGCATTGGTTGTCACGCAGTTAAGCAAGTAATGAGCGGCGTGCCTATGTTAGGAAGCCATTCTCAACAGCGTGTGGACCACTGAAATGCGATTTTCTTTCAAACTAAGAATTTCTTTTCCATTGAACAAGCAGCACAAGTTTATAGAGTACCATTTCAACAATTATTACCTACTTGTTATTTGCCTTCAGTATCCCGTAATCTTTTGAGGCTTGAAACGTTCTCCCATCTTTCGTCTATACTAGCACGAAGAAAAGCTTAAGTGCGTAGTTTACTTGCCTAAATTGCAGAACGTGCAATGAAAAAATGCACACGTGAATGAACTGTGAAATAACTTGTACAGCAGCGCCTGACGACGTACCTCGAAGGGCCAAGCAAGTTTCGATCACTTACGAAGCCCGAACAGCCCAAATGTGCACCCACATGAAGCAAAACGAAGGTCGCAAAGTAAACACACTGAGGCTGGCATGAAAACCAATATGGTTTATTTCGAGCAGGCTTTTCTTGTTGCTTTAGACTTTTTTCCGCTTGTCATTGTACAGTGATGCAGTTCACACAACACGTCATATTTTACAAAAAAAATTACACAATAGAAGGGAGCTGTGTACACACACCAGGTCTTAAGGCACTCGCTGAGACTGTATGTACAGAGCGGTGTATTGCATTCAACGGTGGCCCACCACTTTTTTTTTTTTTTCCTTTTTAATGCGATGCTCGGAGTGGGATGACGGAACACTAAAGAAATGTGCCGCACAGGCGGCGGCAAACGAAAGGACATGAGTGGCTATATGAGGAGTGTTCGTTTAACGAGTTTTTCTTTGCACAGCGAGGGAACACGACAGCTTTGTTAATGGTTGAGGTGATCTAGGAACCTCGCAGAAGGAAAAAAAAAGTGTCTTAAGAAAAAGAACAGAAGAAATAGAGCGAGAGTCTTATTAGACAACGGTCTCGAGCAAAATTCCTTCAGCGTGCATACTAATAAATGAGCAAAACTCTGGGAGGCTAATTTATAAAATGGCGTGCCAGACAAATCAGTCAACCGCTGCCCCGCCAGATCTTCAATTAGATAAGCTGGCTCAGGTTACTACTAAATAAAAGAAAAATTAAGCACCGGAGAATTGTAACTACATCTTTATATCCGCACAAGAAATGCGACCCATTCTTATAAAAACTTAAAACTAAGCAAAATTTACCAAAGCAGGCTTTCAAAGGGCACTGGCACAAGCCTTAAGCACTTTATCCAGCTTACCACTTAAGAAAACTACGCTACAGCCAGCAAGCATTCACTCCTGCGACACACTCTGTCTTGACATACAGTAAAGAAAAACACAGTTTGCGGCCTCTTGAAAAGCTTTACGCATAAAAGGAATAGAGTGCTGCGTGCTTTCGACTTGCATGTGAGCTAAGGCAAAAAGTTGTTGCCACCACTGGTCAACAACGAAGCGCTTTGACAGACGGAAAAAAGGAGAGCATGTTTCTTTGCATGTCATCACAGTCATGCAACAGCTTGGCACAGGGAATAGGGAAGGGAGCATGACATAATACAGTTAGTCACACTAAAGAGGTAAATGACAACCAATTTCTGTTTAAGTACAAAAAGCAATAAGGTAACATGGATAAACCAACACAGTGCACACAATCTTTAAACGTGGACCTATAGGCCTGAGCACTACATGGTAAAATTTGTGTTACAGCAACAAGCATTGTGACATAAAAACCAGTTTTCTGCACAGCCTTGGAAGAAGTGACTACGTCAGCAGCACAAATAAAACAATTCGTACTAAAGCTTTGAACTTTGAGTGCTGGTTACAAGCAACAGCAGCATGAGCAAGGGTTTAAGAAAAAAAAAAACGGAAGTCACTACTCTCACTTGCAGCACATGCAGCCTTAACAAAAATGTGGAAAGCAAGAGCAAGACAGGTTGGGGTGCTACCGTCCTCTCACTCCCCTTCTCTTCTTTCTTCAATAAATAATTGAAAATGCATCCTTGTATTTACAACATGTCCGTATTTAATCCCTTTGTTTCTTTTGTCTATGGCAAACTGCGGGTGCCTGTGCTGTATGCAAACAAAGCCACATCCTTTACAATCCTTCAACACGGTCGATTTCACCTGCATTGAGCCGCGTCGGGTCGGCCTGCACTGTGAAGCCCAGCAGGGAACTGTCCACCTTCTGCATCTTCTTCTTTTTCTTCTTGGAGCGCGCAGCCATGAACCCGTCGTTGGCGACAGTGGCTGCTGCAGCCCCTGTCGCACTCGATGCTGAGCTCACAATTGGCACAGTGAACGCTTCGTCAGTCTTGAGAGCGGAGCCCGCCTTTTGGTACTGCTCCCGTTTTTGTAGGAACTGACGCACAAAGTCCGTTGTGTCCTGGCTGCTGCCGAAAAAGTTGTGCACGTACTCCTGCACCTCGGCCGGAGACTCAACGTCTTTGAGTATAGCCACTACAGTGGGAATGTCCAAGTACGACTGGATGCCACTCAGCCTCTGCACGCACCATGCCGTCAGCTCGTCAGTGGGTGCCGCCTTGGCGTGCTCCTCGAAAAGCTTCATCACTTGCTCTTCGGCTCTCTTGCTTTGCTGGCCCTTGGAGCTGCGGCCAGTGGACGACGAAGAAGATGCGCCTCCTCCAAGTGACGGAAAGCTTGAAGCAGGTTTCGCTGCCTGCTTTGGTGCCGGCTTTGCAGCGGGTGGTGCTGCAGTCGCAGCCTCGTCCCAGAAACCCCTTGAAGAGTCTTCGTCGGGGACGAGGTCGAGATACTGAAAGCTGTTGTTGAACGATTTCAACAGGTTGTTGGTGGAACTTCCCCAGGCACCCCCAAGTTGCAGGATGCTGCTTTCCTGCTGTCGCATTATCTGCTGTTGCTGCCGCTGCTGCTGCTGGGCTTTCTTCATCTTGTCGGCACGCTCGGCCTCCTCTTGCTGAATCTCGGACAGGGACTTCACAGCACCGGAGGAAGAGGCCTGCGCCCGTGACGCCCATGTGAGGGTTGCCTTGTGTTGCTGCTGTTGCTGTTGCAACAGCATGGCCTGCTGCATGGCTTGTTGCTGCTTGCGTTGCTGCTGGAGCCGTTCGGCTGCCAAGTTCCTCTCTTTCTCCTCCTGCACCCGCTGAATCTCAGCAAGCGAAAGAGCAGACGATGATGCTGGTTGGCTTGCCTTTCCGCCCCACACAGGACCCTGCGGCTTTTCTGGCTTCGCTGGCTCCACCTTTGGCTGAGGCTTAGGAGGCTGCCTGAGGGCCATGAACTCATCGGCATCTATGACGGACACCTTGCTGGGGCTCTTCTTTACAGGTTGTGTGGACTGGGCTTGAGCTGCGGCTGCTGCTTGAACGGCGGCGGCAGTTGCTGCAGCTTGCCTGGCCTTTTCCTGCCGCTTCTTCTCCTCCGCTTTTCTGGCCTCCTCAGCGGCTCTCCTCTCCTCTTCTTTTCGCTTCTCAACTTCGAGTGCCCTCCTCCTCTCTTCTTCTATCCGCTGCTGTCGCAACATTTCTTCTTCCAGTTGGCGCTGCTCTTCTTTCCTCTTTTGCTCTTCGATCTTTCTCTTATGCTCTTCCAGCTTCCTCTTCTGTTCCTCAAGCTTTCGCTTCTGCTCCTCAACCTTTCTCTGGTGTTCTTCCTCCTCTAACCTCTTTCGCAGCTCTTCCTCTTCCCTCTTCCGCCTTTCCTCTTCCTCCTTCCTTAGCGCCTCTGCCTCTTGCTGTCTCCTCTTCTGCTCTTCTTCCTCCTTGCGACGCTCCTCCAGCAGTCGCCGTTCCTCCATCAACCGCCGCTCCTCCTCCAGCCGCGCCTGCTTCTGCAACTCCCGAGTTCGCCGGTCCTCTTCTTCCTTTGCCCTCATCTGCTCGGCCAGAAGGCTTTGCGACGCCAGCTGTTGGTGCTGTTGCCACAAGGTCTCCATGATGTTTCTAGTGGGCGGTGCCGGCATGGCCAAAGATGCCGACACTATACTAGAATCCGCGTCCCATACACTGGTTCCCCTCGACTCGGGCACGGGAGTTGCCGAAGCCGTGGTCACTGGCTGAGGCGGCCAGCTTGCATCAGTCTGGGGATCTTTCATGAGCGATGGAGGCAGTCCAAACATAGGAGGTGGTCCCACAGAGCTCAGCAAGTTCATAAGAGGTGTCTGGTCGCCGAAGCCAGCAGGTCTAGACAACGAGTGGGTGGCCATATAGTACTGCAAACAGATTCTGTTCTGGTCTACTGGAGACAAGTTCGCAAATGCCTCATTTGTCTTCAGGCTGTTTTGTATCTGCTGCATGGCAGCTAATCTGTAAACCTCCTGCATGTACTGCTGTTGTAGTGCATAATTCATCTGACCTGGCGGCATGTTGGGTAGCCCGGGATGAGGGAGGCCTCCAAGGCCCATACTGGAAGGCACACCAAGTTCGGCACCATGAGGAACTTTGAGTGGTGGTGGTTGCTGGGTAGCAATGAAAGGTACGACATCCCAGCTTTTGATCAGTGTTCCAAGCTTCGAGAAAGCCGCATCACACACCCTCTTGACCATCAAGTCCATGGTGAAATAGCCGGCCTGAAACCATTCCATCATTTCGGCCGATGAAAATGGGCCCTGAATGTCACCTTGAGGATCCTTGTATAACCACCTGTACAAATGTTCTGGCAGGTTGTGTTCCCCGCCTACCGTCTGTGACACGTACTTTTTCTCTTCTTCCGCGGTCCACTCGGCCATCATGTTTTCCGCTGCCTTTGCGAGGTGCGCGAAACTGTCGTCCTTGGGCGACGTGGAGACCACCTTTGAAGCGTCGTCTTCGACGGGTTTCATCTGCGCCGGTGCAACGGTGTGCAACGTAGGAGCAGGAGGGATTGGTTTGGGGGGGCTTCTAGGCGGCGCACTTTCAGTTTTCTGGGGCGAGGACGGCACGGGCACGGGAGCAGGCGGCGACTTGGGCTTCTCCACTGACGGCTCACTCGGATGACTGACTCTGGGAGGCGGCGGCTCTTGGGATCGCTTCTCTTCGCGTTTGGGAAGTGCCTCCAACTTAGGCGGAGCGGGCAGTAAGTCGTTTTCCCACGATTCTTCCTCGCTGTCTTTGGTGTCGACGAAAGCGCCTTTCGCGTCGAAGCAGCCCACCTTCTCTGTGTCTCCCTGGTCCTGAATCCACTCCGGCAGCTGTTCGGAGGAGTGACTGCCCCCGCCGCCGTGCTCCTCGAGCCAGTGCCGTCCGAGGTCCTTCTTGAGGGGTCCGTTGGCGACGGCGTGGGGCGGCCCATCGTCGCCGTCGCAGTCAGCCTTGCTGTGGTTTCGCCACGACTTCCACTTCTCGGACGAGGCGGCACGACCGCCGCCGCTGCGCCAGTTGTCGTCCTCTTCGGCGTGGCTGCCACTGCTGCTACGCCAGTTGTCGCTGGTCGCCCTGCCGGCGCTTGCGGCCGTGCCCGCAACAGAGCCGCCGCCTCCGCTGCCGGCTGGCGCGTTCTCTTTTCTGAACGTGTCCCCGTCGTAGCTGGTGCGCCCCACGAACGGCCGCTCGGGCTTCTTGTCTCGCTCGTCCCAGCGCTGGTCTCGCTCGCTGAGGCTGTGGCTGCGCTCGAAGGGCCTCGGGCGAATGAAGGCTCCGAACTGACCTTCTTCCTCGCCGATACCTCTCTGGTAGCCGCTGCCACGACCTCGGCCGCGACCCCGGTCGACCGAGCCGCCTCGGGCGCCTCGACCGGGACCCGCACCGGGCACAGCGCCTTTGCCCACTGTTAGCCGTAGCACTGCATCACTGTTCACGGATCGCGCCCAGACGCGCTGCTCTTCCTCCGTCATCGTGACCAGGGCTAGAGGCGGCTGTGTGTTCTCCACGGCCAGTTGCTGGAATTCCCGAAGCGAATCCGGCATAGGCACGTTTTGATCAAACATCGCCAGCATCTCTTCCCTACCGTATCGATACTTTGCGAGCTTGTACTTTGTTACTCCGGTCGACGGGACCGGGGCAGCAACACCGTTAGTCTGCGTGAGTGCGCGGATCCACTCTGGACCAAACTTCAGTGCCGTTTCTTCCATTTCGGAGTGTTCAAAGCTCGGCTTTCGCTCTGAGAAAGTAAAATTAAACCCTGACACGACAGCAACGATCAAAATGGCCGACAACTTTTTACGGGACCAGACAGAGAAATGCAAGGCCTCGAAAAAGAGTTATCGCTTTGCAGGTGGCGCTAGCTATCTACGCAAAAATTGCATCTTGCGAAACGGTTGCTGGAGTTGTTGCTGTTCAGCGCACCATGTATTTCGACTAAAGTGGCAAGAATTTGAACAGGAGATCTATGGACGGGTCACTTAAACGAAGATCGTATCGGAACCTGACATCTCGCTTGGGACGCCACCGACGCAAGCCTCTGATCAGCTGAAGCAGCAACTGCAGTGAGCGCGTGTTTTTTTTGTTTTTCGTTTACCTCACAACAATGCTTTCTCTAGAGCTACGTTAAGACTTGCTGCAGAAGCTTGACTTAATGCGAGTTTCAGACAGTAATACCACCATTTCCAAGACAGTGCAGATCAGCTGATTGTAGTGCGAAAAAAAAAAAGTAAAACAAATAACCGATTGTTGACAATGTGCCAGCTGCCTGTACGTGCCAACGTCGTTTCAGTGACTGGTTGGCGCGGACAGCTCGCAGGTACAGCAGGGTTGACAGCGTTCATTAAACTAAAATAAGTACTGAACGGTGAACCTTAGAACATCTTAGAACGTTCGTCGGCACGCCTTTGACGCGACTCGCGTCTTCTGATCAGCTGTCGCGAATGCGTGGTGGGTTTTTATTTACCTCACAACCACGCTTAGTGGTATACAAGCAGAACGTTTTTGTACGTGTAAGAATGCAATGTAGCATTACATATTCATGAATAGCTTCTCAACCGAGAAACAGTTCGTTGAAACAGCACTGTATGCAAAAACAGAACGTGTATGGGAGACTTTGCACAGCCTCCGAGATTGTAATAAATCTTTACTCTCGGAGGCACAATTTTTTTTAAGTGATTCTTCAGAAGAGGTAAACGACACCTAATTTCCGTCTGCCTCTTGGCCAACCCTATTTGTAGCGGAAGGGAAAAGGAGAAATACAAATAATAGTGGGAAGATAGAGATAAAGAAATAGGACAAGGCAAGCGACAGAAAAAGAAAACGACGCCCCCATCTCGAGCGAATGCGTCGCTGAGTGGTGGACACGGAGGAAGGAAAGGTTCCTTTCCTTCCTCCGTGGTAGTGGGGGTATCGCGTGAATATGGTTCAGGAATGCTTAATTGTTATTTCGTGTTTAGTACTCTTATTTATTGAATGAAGTAGAAGCGTTTTCTTTCAACGAGTGGTGGCACTCTGATGTGCGATCCAGGCATGTGAACGGTTGTGCTGCTCGAGCAGTTGGTTTTTACAAGCAGAGGCTGCCTGCGTCGGCCTTGCGAAACTAGGGAGGGAGGGAGGGGGGAGTGAACAGTTGGCACGAAACGCAAGCATGCGGCACGATACGCGAGGCGCGAGCATGCGCAGTGGGTGGGTCGACAACGCTGACGCACGACACGTGACGAACGAAGAAGATGGGAACTCTTGGTTCGAAACGTTTGTACGCGATGCACTTGTACTACAGTGAGTTCTACTTATCGTCAGAAATCTAGCTCAGGAGCGTAAATAAGTCGAATATGCAGGCTCTGTTCTAGAACATGATATATTTTAGGCTGCGAAGATGCGGTTTGAAAAATGTTTGAAGCGTGTGACTCTCCGAGCACCTACATCACTTCAAGCGTCGCAAAAAAGGCAAACACATAGAAAAAAACACTAATTACACATACATCTTATTGGTGTGAACAGAGGAGCTTTGCAACGCAACGGCTGAGACAGAATGCCTTTACTCACCGCAAAGATCGCGGCTGTACCTTTCCCTATAGCGCTCCGCCTTTTTCTTGTGTAAAACGGGCAGCGTCCAAAGTTATTAGATGTGAAGTAGCTCTTTGAATCGCGTCTGTGATGCCGTACGTACGAGAGTTCATACGAACGCGCCGCAACGCGTTCCCTTCGCCGCAGGTGCTGGAGCGGTGCCAAGTAAGTCACGCGCCACAGCTGGTGGTGGGTGGTGGTAGTGGTTAGAATGAAGAGGAAAAAGGCACCTAATTTCTGTCTGCCTTCAGGCGACACGGCGCAGTGCCTTATAGGGGTGGGGGGAAGGAGGGATAAAAGAATAGAAGGAAAATAGACGGAGAAGAAGACAGCCAAGCGAGAGAAAAAAGAAGGAGATAGGAAAGTGGGGATCCGGTCGAAGCAGTCCAAGGGCGGGGTGCCACAATGCGAGAGCTGCACGGCGTCAGGAGACCGCGGAGGGCGAACCAGTCGGCGGGAGCTACGCTGATGTCGGAGATCGCGAGGGCACAACCGTCCAGCTTGAAATCCTGCGAGCGAATCCGCGCCACAGCTGCGCGTAAGTCACGCTCCCCTCGCACGCTTTCCTCCTAGCTGCGTGATGAGGTCACTCTCGCCCGTATCCGCAGCACGCTCGTCGCAGCACCGCAGCTGCCGGCTCCTCCGCCCGCTCGTAACACACTTATCTCACCCCGGGGGGTCCAAACACAATTGCTAATAAAGTTTTATGTCTGTCTGTCTGTCTGTCTGTCTGTCTGTCTGTCTGTCTGTCTGTCTGTCTGTCTGTCTGTTGCTTCTCCCTCTCCACCGCCCGCAACGCTCGACCACACGTCGAGTGGAAACACTCCTTCGGCTCGTTAATGTGCGATGAAACTTACACGAAACCCAACCCGCATCCCGTGTCTTTGCGTTTCAAACCAACGCCCCTAGGAGGCGTTGTTCAAACAAACGTTTACTCGAGTAAACGCTAGACCGAGTTTCACTTCAAACCGTTCTTCCAGCACCCGCGCCGACGCCCGTAGTTTCAACCGGGTCAACGCCATGCGCACCACTGCGGCCTCGAATCCTATTAGAGTTCCCTTCGGGGAGATGGTCCATAATTTTCAAGCGCGGCAAGATGACGTGAGTGCGATACGGCACCTCCTCCGGTGAGTCGGCGTCTCGGCGGCGTTTTGAAATATGGTAGTCGCGCCGTAGTAGACGCAGTTATACTTAACTCTAAAGGATATAATTAAAAAAAATTGCAGCATAACCACGGGGTGGATGATGGAGAGTGGGGCGAAGCATCCGTCCGTGTATTCGTTCTTGCTTCCGTCCGTCCATGCGTCCATCCATGCGTCCACCCATGCGTCCATCCGCCCGTCCGTGCGTGCGTCTGTACGTGCGTCCGCACGTCCATCCATGCGTCCGTCCATGCGCTCGTCCATGCATCCACCGTGCGTCCGCCCATGCGTCCATCCGTTCGTGCAACCATCCGTGCGTCCGTCCATGCATCTGTCTGTGTGTCCATTCGTTCATCTAGTCAACACTCCAAGTACAACAATGTCGCATCTTTTCATTATATATTCCGCATATAGAAGCACCGCCATCCAGCAGACATTCCAAGGAGTAAACGAGAGGTGGCACACGCACACTTTCTTACGGCTGGCGCTTCGTGTCTACTTCCCACCTTTAACCACCTCGAGTTCATGGTATATACTAGTTCACTGTATTCATGGCACTGTGGCCCAACGCTCGCTAAACCTTTCCGAAACAAAGGAGGGTACGTCCAGCAAGTATAACGTAGCAACCTTTTCTTGTCAGATACTGCTTAATGTACATGCCAATGGCTGCTAATGGAGAATGAGAAACAGAAGAATTTGCCTTTTAGTTAACGCAAACGCTGCGATTTTTTATTGTTCAACAACGCACAGGAGAAATCTCCCACCGGCACCCCCTTGGAGATCAAAGCGTAAGACATGTTACGTACTACGAGGGACAAATGGGTGCCGCTTTAAGGAGCTTCGCCCCTAAAACGTTATATTTAACTACAGACGGCACAGAGGTGCTGCCGCAGATGTGCGTCCTCACCCGAAGTTGGAGAAAGCGCTCATCAACGCATTCATTTAGTACTGTCCGTCACCGTGACACTCTGTAGACGGAAGCCCGGTTTGCTAACTCGTGTACTTTTGCTTGTTTCCCCAAGGAGCTGTAGTAAAGATCACCTCACGTATGTCCCGTGTAGGTGCCCTTGAAGCTAGTCGAAGCGAACGGCATGTTCTCTGCATTAAATGGGGGTTAGACCTCTTTAGTTGGCCATCTGCTGCAGATCTGTGCACGCAGCCTGCAAGCCATTCTAATGGCAGGCTGCATCCGCATAGCTGTAGCCCTGGAGGAAAGAAATCATGGCTGTAGTGAACAATCAACTAAAACTATCTACTACAGACGCGGTGAAATGCGCACAAGCACATGCACAAGCAGCGGTGGTAGCATCGGTGCCACTAGGGAAAAATGCAGCGGCGTCACCTGGACTTTTCTGCGCGGATCTCGTCTACAGATACCTCTATCGGATCCTGGACGTCACTTGCGGAGCTAATGGCGTTTCATGGTAACAGGACATGAATTTATTTTTGGCTGGCACATGCAATAAAGATTTGGGGACATCAATTTCGAGCTTTTTGACAGGAGACAGACTATGTGTGTTACTTTATTCCCTTATTTGTATTGCAGATAGTTTGTTTGCAATAGAAGAAATCAGTGTTTGTCGTTCACAGTGTTTGAAATCAGTGTGTGCGTATGCTGGGCAGACACATCCATTAATCTTTCTTTTCCCCTTTCCCCTCCCCCAGTGTAGAGTAGCAGGCTAGAGCACGTTATCGCTCAGGCCGACCTCTCTGCCTTTCTGTAAATAAACCTACCTCTCTCTCTCTCTTGGTTGCAATCAATAGAAATGGGCGAATACACTTTACCTATACCAGTGGTTCGCGAGGCCGTTCCACGTAACCCATTGTAAAAAAAAAAAGAGCAAGAGAGAAAGAGAAAGAAAATCGTATTTGTGGAGGCACATAACCCCTTGCCAGCGGCTCCTCATTTTTTTCTTCACCGCATAAATTTGCATTGTGGTGGAGCTGATGTATGTTTCCACCTTCTCCAGTAGGATGGTTGTAAAGCTTTTGTTATAGTTTTCTACGACACATGCACGTGGGCATACTTTTCCTAGGCTTGCATACTTAAGGAGCAAACAAAACTAGAAGCAGACTGATTGTGGCTGTGAACTGCACA